GGAGGGCTATGCTGTTCCAGCCGCTGTTGACAGTGGACTCTAGGGCCAGGGACGTAACAGGGAGACCACTGCGGTCAGTCCTGGTGAGAGAGCATGGGGACTCGAACCAGGAGATCACAGTAGAGGCAGAGAGAGGCTCGGAGTACCAGGTGACGCTGGCAGGCAGGACCAACAGGCGAGGGGGAGAGAGGGGTCTAAGTGGACCAAATGGGCAGGATGGTGTGACCATCAGGTACAGTTGGGAGTTGCTGAAAGAGGAGAGGGGAGGAGAGGTCAAGAGTTCAAGTTCAAACGTGCACCTTCGCATCACATCCAACATGGTTCTGCAAGGGAGTCCAGAGCGTCAGGGGCTCGACTGCCCAACCAAGCTGACGACGATCAGAGGAACAAACCGAGGGTGGACCAGCACCTCCCCTGAGCCCTGACCTTGAGCCAGACCCGGTGCTGACAGCTTCCCGGCAGTCATCTCCCCGGGCCTCACAACAGGGAGACCAGGAGCAGGCAGCAGATAAGCTCCTGTCTTCACAGGTGAACACCAGCCTTGGGCAGAGGAAGTCACTCACCCAAGGCCACCAAGATGGCCCTGGTGGAGCTGGGCTCTGACCCGATCCCATGTTTCACTTCTGTTACTGGTTAGGTCCAGCAGGAGTTGGGGGGAGGTTCACTGAGATCCGCAACTTAAGCTCCATTGCGAAAGAGGATTTGTGAGAAAGGAGAGGGAGGGTGAGGTCCCTGCTGTCCTCTGCAGTCGTCCCTTGAGTCACTGCTTCATTAGACTCCACTGGCCGATCCTGAGACACACCAAGTGCTGTTCCTCTTTAGGGCTTTCACCCATATTTCCCCCTCCATGGGAAATACTCATACTTTTTTTTGGTACCGGGGATTGAACCTAGGGGCACTTTACCACTGAGCCACATCCTCAGTCCTTTTATGTATTTCATTTTGAGACAGGGCCTCTATAGGTTGCCCAGGGAGGCCGTGAACATACTATCCTCCTGCCTCAGCCTCCTGTGTCACTGGGATTATGGGCATGTGCACCACTGTGCCTGGCTCATCCTGTCTCGTTTTCTAGATGACTCTTAGGTATCTCTGGGGGCTCAACTCAAATGTCACTTCCTCAATGAGGCCTTCCCTGATCCTCCAGAACAAGCCTCCTTGCACTGTGTAGTGAGAGCTCTTCAGACAATTCTCACAACTATTTGTGCCACGAGGTGTTCAGTGTCCACCTGGTTCACCAGAGCAGTGCTGGTCAACAGAATTTGGGAAATTGCTGCAACTACAGGAATGTTCTAGACTTAGGCTGCTCAAAACAGTAGCGACTAGTCACTTGTAGCCATTAAGCTTGTGAAATGACAGCCAGGTATGGTGGTGCACACCTGTCATCCCAGCAGCTGGGGGGGCTGAGCCAGGATCCCAAGTTCAAAGCCAGCCTCAGCAACTTAGTGAGCCCCTAAGCAACTTAGCAAGACCCTGTCTCTAAAATATATATATATATATATTTAAAAGGGCTGGGAATGTGGCTCAGTGATTGAAGGCCCCTGGGTTCAATCCCTGATATCAAAAGGGGAAAAAAAATATAAGCATGTGAAATGATTGAGGGACTTATTTTTACATAGTATATTATGCTATTAAATATTTCACATGAATTACATAATTGAAACTAATTTAGGCTTCAACTTAAATAACCACAGTTAGCTGACAGCTACCATATCAGACACTGCAGCTCTAGACTGTGATGTCCTTAAGGGCAAGGACCATTCTGTCTTTTTTTGTTTTTTTGGTACCAGGGATTGAACTCAGGGGCACTGGACCACCGAGCCCCATCCCCAGCCCTATTTTGTATTTCATTTAGAGATGGGATCCCACTGAGTTGCTTGGCGCCTCCCTTTTGCTGAGGCTGGCTCTGAACTCACGACCCTCCTGTCTCAGCCTCCTGAGCCACTGGGATGACAGGTGTGCGCCACTCACCCGGCCCATTCTGCCTTATTTAGCTGTAGAATCCTTTGCACCAAGGATGGTACCCAAGGAATCCATCCACCCATCCATCCAACTATCCACCCATCCATGCATGGATGTGGTCTGAAAAACTTGCTTTCAAGAAATCATTCTAGAAAAGAGGGACCTAAAAAGAAGTCTGACTTACACAAGGGCACATAATAAGGCAGAAGTGGATATAAAAAAAACTCTCAGCTGCCTGAATCTTCTGTACGTGATCCCATCCCCGAGTGAATAGCAGGTGGAAGACAAGGGTTATTTGCAGTCTCAAATGAACCACTCCAGAGCGGTGTGAAGGTGCCCCCAAATGCAAGGAAGGACTGTTTTCTTAGGCACCTTATCCCCTTTCCCCCCTTCCCATAACCCCATAAACTACTTAGTGGCTTATAATCTATTAACACTTGGCCTCCCACAGGACCGAGTCTGCTCCAAAGTCCACTCTTGCCAACCCTCTCTGAGGCACTCTGAATTTTTTTTTTTTAACCATATTGCTCTCAGGAAATCTGTTGCCTGCAATCTGTGCATAATATATGTAGGGTGTGGTTTAAAAAACATCTAAGTCGTGATTTGTAACCCACTCAGATTCGCACAGCTGTTTCTTTAGCTTACTCTTTTTTTATATATATAAATTGGGGTCAGCACATTTCAGGACTAATTTTGACTTCATTCAAATGTAGTTTGGGGTTTTCAAAGTACAATTTGGGGAGTCCAGCATTAGTGAACCTAGAGATTTTATTTTTTATAAATGATTTTTCAGATGTAATAATAGCAATAGCTGGTAAGGTGTTGGGTGCTTTGTAATCAGCCAAGCATTGAGCGTTTTTTATCTTATTTGATCTTTATAATAATTCTAGGATCCAAGTATTATTATGATATATATATTTTTTTGGGGGGTGCTGGGGACTGAACCCAAGACTTGTGCATACCAAGCATGAACTCTATCACTGAGCTACACTCCCTACCCCAAGATAGTGATTTCTATACCCAGATGGGAAGTGTCAGGGTCAGGAGTTGAACCCAAGTCTGTCTGCTCAGAGCCAATGTTCCCTCACAGTATACAATTTGACCTCTCTAATAGACATTAAGTCTATCAAACATCAGAAAGGGGAGGGGGAACGTGAAGGGGGGAAGATGGTAGAAATGAAATGTACATTATTACCCCTACGTATGGGTATGACTTCATGAATGGTGTGACTCTACATCATGTACAACCAGAGAAATGAAAAGTTGTGCTCCATTTGAGTTTTTTAAAAAAATAAAATTATTTTTTAAAAATTCAGAAAGAATAATCAAGAGACAACTCTGGGAATAGAACTGGGGTTTGGGAAGAGGGAGAATCACTTTTCATTCTAGTGTTTCTCTCTGAGCTTTACTATATTTATATATGTTATATAATCTATGCATATTTAAAACCAAATTAATTTTTTATTTTCAATAAGTAAAAAGCCTCTTCTTATTTTTACTCTGTGTGTGTGTGCATGTGTGTTGCTGGGGATCAAATGCAGGGCCTTGTGCCTCCCCAGCAAGTGTTGCTCCATGAGCTCCACCCCCACACCTATTTTTACTCCTTTTAAATTGAGCATAGAATTGTTATGATGATATCTCTATATTAGTAGATTAAATATACATACATCTTCTGCAAAGTTCACATGTTCTGACATCGTTTGAAAACGTATCCCATTAAATCTGGAGTTCCAATATATATATCCTTATTCCAAATACCATGATTTTTCTTTCCATTTTTTGAACCATCTTTTACTTTAGGATAATAGTTTGGTTTTTGACCACGCTGTTTATTTCCAATGAAAGTGGAATGTTTTCCTTGAGCGATTTGCATGCACTCAGACATTTACATTTTTATATATAGTCACATATCGACCTCTGGACCTTATAACTAGGCATCCTTCAGCATTTATGGAATAAGGCTATATATTCATAAGCCATGAGATTTGTGGACGAATTAATAAGCTCAAATTCTAAATTAATAAAAATTTTTCATGAAAATTAATTTTACACTGATTAAGAAGGAAACATTACAACCCCTTTCAGTACTCTGAGCCTCAGAGAGCTGTATCAGTCACACTAAAAGTCACTTGGGAGAATTCCTGGGTAGCTCAGAGGAGAATACACACCATTTTTTAAAGAAAATACACTCATGCTAACCATCACGTAACCTTTCCATGCTTTTACCATCCAAACGGCCAGTGATTCTAAAAATCAAAACAAAACCCTCAGAAATGTTCTTTTTAAGGACCCCTCTCCTACTCTTGGAATTTGCTTAAAACGCCTCACCCTCTGCAGCAGGAAAAATCCCTAAGCCCCTCTGCAAGGCCCTAGCCTTCCCATTGCTTGGTGCACGGTCCCCCAAGATCCCTGGAACAAATGTGGTATCCCTGAAAAATTCCGATCCTCAAAAAGAATGCCTGCCGGATGTCTCCAGGGTGAGTCCCACTCTAGCTGTGACATGTCTTTCATTCAGAAGGCGGCAGAGGCTTGGGCGACAGTGCCCACAGCCCTCTTCATTCACACACGCCCCACGAACCACAGGACTCTGCCCAGAGCCTCTCCTCTGGGAAGGAGCCCTGGCTTCTCAGAAACCGGCCTGCGACCTCCTCTCCCGGCTTCCCACGACACCTTGCAGGAACCGCGGGGACCTCGCGGCGTCGCAGGGCTGGGGAGGACCGCTGTCACGGCACGGACCCATCCGTGCAGCCCCATTCCCCCGCAGCAGCGGTGACAGCAGAGACCTCAGCCTCCCTGGAGCATCCGGAGCGAGTCAAGGAGAAAACCCGAGCCCGCGGCTGGCTCTGGGCAGCGGCTGCCAGCGCAGGAAACGGACTGAGTCAGGGACAGCGCGCGGGGCTGCGGGGAAGGAAAATGGCTCGTCTCCTCGGGCCTCTGCGCTCCGCCGAGCGCGCTCCCCCTCCCCCCTGAAGCCCCGCGGACAGGTCCCCGCCGCAGGTTTCGCGGTGACCCCCCTGCCCGCGCCCGGGCCCGGCACTCACGGCAGCTGCCTGAGCTGGAACAGGTCCTCCTCCATGTCCGCGCTGCGCCAGGACCAGCCCTTCTCATGGCCCTTACATGGTCGTGGCGACGGCGAGCGCGCGGGGTGTCGGCGCCGGGAGGCTTCCTTCCTCTCCCTCGGGCGGCAGCTGCTCGGGGGAGGGAGCCGCCGGGGACCGGCCCACGAGACAAAGCCACCGCCGCCGCCGCCACCGCCACCGGGAGACCGCGGCCGGGTGGGCGGAGAGGCGCGGGCGGAGGGCGGGGCCAGCGGCGAGGGCGGGGGCGGGGAGCGCGGGGAGGCGCAGCCTGCGGCGGGGCGGCGCGGGACCCCTGTGCTCCCCGCCCCTGACCAGGGCTCACCGCCTCTCCACGCCTTTATTTGCAGGGATGCATTCATGCGGTCACGATTGCATGCATTCTCGAAGCCCGGGTTGCTATAATAAATGCAGGGTAGGATTTCTTTTTTAAACGTATCTACTCATTTAAGCACTGTTTTATGGAGCACCTGCTGTCTGCCAGGCATGGCGATAGGCACGTAGTGTGTGATGGAACAAATTGGATGGATCCTTGTCAGCGCGGAGCTGAAGATCTAGGGAGGGTAATGCGTGTTTAGCCTGCCAAAGGCCACGCACGCATTCATTCCACAAGCTTTTGGGGGCGTTTCTACAGCCTTGGCTCTGCGGGGTCCCTGCCCTCAAGGTTCTTCTAGTTGAGTTCAGAGTTCCCCCTCCCACTAGAATTCTTGCCTCCCCTTATAACTCAAGCTCCATGAACTTTCAAGGATGCGTCTTAAGCACCTAGAACAGCGCCTGGCTCACAGAAGGTGCTCAGTAAACATGTGTGGAGTGAATGGTTCTCAGTTCAGGTTACACAGAAAAATCTCTTGGCTTCATCCCAAACCGGATGGACCCAACTCTCTGGAGGTGGGGCCAGAGCCTGGGTATTTTTTTTTAAAAGCTCACCAACAGCCCGGAGTGAAAACCTCTGGTCTAATGTGAATAAATGAAGAGAAAAGAAATTACACAACAGGGAAGGACAAATGACCTGTGATGGTCACTGTCAGGATGTATGAGATGGAAGAAGGAATGGGAGCACCTAGGGCAGCAAAGAAAGAGGAAATTTTTTTTTTCCCTTCAGGGTTGCCAAATTGGGATGAGAGGGTATCTCAAGAAACCAATCCAAGAACTAGAAACAGTTTCACATCAAATGCATGTCAGAATTTCACACTGAGTCCAAAAAACGACAAACAAAACAAAACAACAAGTATCTTGAAAATCCAGGGTGGGGTGCATTGCAGACACACGGGAAGGTGCCCCACCTACATTGTTCACATTGATCTTAGCAACAATCCTCTGGAACAGGATTGCAGTTTTACAGATGAATATACAATTCTTAGAGAGGGAAAAAATCCCTTGTTCAAAGCCACCCAGACAGATAACAGTTGATCTGAAATCAAAACCCAATCTGTCTCCAGAAACTGAACCCTTCAGTGGTAGGCTCTCTGAGATTCTCTAAAGAGATCATCCTTCATGGATATAGTAGGAGAAATTTGAGTTGATGAAACATTGGATAGCTCGAAATAAGCTGAATGTTGGGAAAACCAATTAGGAAGTGGTACTGAAACACCTATTATTATTAATCCAGCAAATATTAATTGAGAAACATCTAGGTGTCTGACACAGTGATAGTTTGTAGCAACTTATCATGGCTACTTCTGACCTCATACTTGAGTGCCAATCACAGCTTTTCCCACTCCTGCTCATTTCTAAAGGAATCTGCCCCACCTTAACTGAGAACTGCAACTGCTCTCCCATGACTCTTAGCCAAGGTGACTGGCTCAGAAGGGGGATTCTAACCCAAAGACATCCAACCCAGACAGTTGTCAGTAACCATTTTTGCATAGCTGGGAAAAGTGGGCAATCTGGTACCTTTTTCTTTTTTTTTCATTTACCTTTGTCTTTTTGATGTGGAGTCTTTCTATGCTACCCAAGCTGTTCTTGAACTTGTGGGCTCAAATGATCCTCCTGCCTCAATCTCCTGAGTGCTGGGAATCATGGATTCTAATGTCTCTGAGTTACTATGTAACTCAGCCATTTCACAACTATATGTATTCTTCAAAGAATTGAAAGCAAACACTCAAGCAGATCCTTGCCCACCAATGTTTTAGCAACATCATTCACAATAGCCAAAGGGTGGAAAGAACTCAAATGAACCCCAACAGATGCGTGGATAAACAAAATGTGCTTTATACACACGAAAGTTATTCAGTTGTATAAAAGAATGAAGTTTTAAATAACCCAGTCAATAAATGGGCTAGGGATCTGAACAGACACTTCACAGAAGAAATACAATCAACAAATATATGAAAAATGTCCATCATCTCTAATAATTAGAGAAATGCAAATTAAACTACACTGAGATTCCATCTCATCTATTCAGAATGGCAATTATCAAGAATACAAGCAACAGTAAATGTTGGTGAGGATGTGGGGGAAAACGGCACACTCACACATTGCTGGTGGAACTGTAAATTGGTACAACCACTATGGAAAGCAGTATGGAGATTCCTCAGAAAACTTGGACTGGAACCACCATTTGACCCAGTCATCCCACTCGTCTGTTTAATACCCAAAGAACTTAAAACCAGCATATTACAGTGACACAGCCACATCAATGTTTACAGCAGCTCAATTCACAATTGTTAAACTATGGAACCAAGCTAGATGCCCTTCAACATACAAATGGATAAAGAAACTGTGGTATATATACACAATGGAATATTGCTCAGCCTTGAAGAATGAGATTATGGACTTTTCAGGTAAATGGATGGAGCTGGAGAATATCATGCTAACCAAAATAAGCCAATCCCAAAGAACCAAAGGCTGAACGTTTTCTCTGATACGTGGATGCTAATTCACAGTAAGGTGGGGGGCCAGGGAAGAATAGAGGTACTCCGGATTAGACAGAGGGAAGTGAAGGGAGGCCAATCCATAAAGACTGAGAGTAGGTTAAGAGCCACCAAGGGCTGCGGGGAGAGAAGAATGGGAATTATTTAAAGAGTACTGAGGAACTGTGCTCCATGTGTGTAATATGAATTGTAATGCATTCTGCTGTCATATATAACAAATGAGAATTAAAAGAAAAGAAAAACATTGCTTGTCTAAATAAACTTGTCTATTTAAAATCTAAAAAAAAAATACAGAGTTTCTGTTTGGAGCAATGAAAGAGTTACGGGAATGCATAGCGTGGCTGGTTAGACAACGTTGCGAATGTTCATTATACCATGGAATTGTACACTTAAAAAACTGGTTAAAGGAGCTGGGTGTGAGGGCGCACGGCTGACATCCCAGAGGCTTGGGAGGCTGAGGCAGGAGGATCGTGAGTTCAAAGCCAGCCTCAGCAATGGTGAGGCACTAAGCAACTCAGAGAGACCCTGTCTCTAAATACAATACCAAAAAGGGCTGGGGATGTGGCTCAATGGCTTAGTGACACTGAATTTAATCCCCCATAAAAAACTGGTTAAAGGAATATAATACATGAAATTGTTATGGAAGAGAGTATAAAAGTTCCCCTTCAAAAATTGAAAAGAATTAACCTATGATCCAGCAATTCCATTGCTTAGTGTGCATCCAAAAGAATTGAACACAGGGTCATAAAGAGGTATCTGCACACCAGTGTTCATCGCCAAGAGCGGGAAACAACTGAGATGTCCGCTGAAAATGAGTGGATACAGAAACCATGGTATATGCTTACAATGGAACATTATTTAGCCATAAAAAGAAGGGAATCCTGTCATATGCTACATGTGTGTCTGTCTTCAGGACATCCTGCTAAGTGAAATAAGCTGGTCACAAGGATGTGGGGGAAAGGTACACTTATTCATTGTTGGTGGGACTGCAAATCAGCCAAAGGAACCAAATGCTATGTCCCATTATAATATTCCAATAAAAAAAGGAAATAGGTAGTCACCAAAAGAGAATGCTGTATGATTCCTCAAAATCAGAAAGAATGGTAGTTACTGTGAACTGAAGGAAGGGGAATGGAGAGTTGTGTCTATAGAGGATTTCAGTTTTGCAGAACGAAGAAGTCCTACCAATCCATTGCACAACAAAGTGCATACAGCTGGCACTACTGTACTGTTCGTGGGCACAAATGGTTAAGAAGTTAATTTGTAGTGTAATCCCAGCGGCTCAGGAGGCTGAGACAGGAAGATCTCGAGTTCAAAGCCAGCCTCAGTAATTTAGCGAGGCCCTAAGCAAAGTCTCTGAATAAAATATATATTTTTTTAAGGGCTGTGGCTGTGGCTCAGTGATTAAGTGCCCCTGGGTTCAATTCCTGGTACCAAAAAAAAAGAAAGAAAGAAAGAGGTTAATTTATGTGTGTATGTGATCAAACCCTCATGCACTTCAGGCAGGGGCTCTACCACTGAGCTACATCCCCAGCCCTAAGATGCAAATATGATGATATGTTTAGCTTACTAAAATAAACAAAATGGTTAAAGAGTAATTTTACATTTTGCACATTTTGCCACAATTAAAAAAAATACCACTGAAAATGTTAGTCTGACCCATGAGCAAGCAGTCTAGAAAGCATTAATGCGGTTGCTTTGCTCACTCATTTGTATTTCTTACCTCCACAACTTAACCATTAACTGTACCATGGTTTTTGGGAGTCAGGGGTACCGGGGATTGAACTCAGGGGCACTGGACCACTGAGCCACATCCCCAATCCTATGTTGTGTTTTATTTGGAGACAAGTTCTCACTGAATTGCTTAGGGCCTCCCTGTTGCTGAGGCTGGCTTTGAACTTGCAATCCTCCTGCCTCAGCCTCCCAAGCACCACGGCTCCACTGCTTTTTAAAGTGATCTTTTTAATTTTATGTTTTCTATTTTTATGTTTTGGCAGTGCTGGGGACGGAACCCAAGGCCTCATGTGTGCTAGGCCAAGTGCCCTGCCACTGAGCCACACCCCAGTCCTAAAGTGATCTTTATAAAACTTGGCTTATGAAAACGTCTGCCCCTTGCCATGTGAGGTCTCATCCCCAGGTACAGTCACCACACCAGTGCACCATCTCAGTGTCCTTCACCTTTTAAAAAGACACCTCCATGAGATAACCTCTAAATATCCCAAACTAAGCAAATTATCCTTCTGCAAGTAGGTATTTCTGAAAACATTCACACACGATGTCTTTTTTTGCGGGGAGGGTGGTACCAGAGATTGAACCC